GTTCTCTAGATGTTGGTAGTTTTTGGTACACATACATTAGGCATTTGTAGCATTTACATATACTGAAAACCCTGGTAAGAAGTGTGGCCTATAGCTACTTTGGTGGGTAGTGTGTCTTGTAATGTAAGTGTTAGAACTTTGGTGGGTAGCCAATTATTTTCTCCTTCACTTAATTTATTTATTGTTTTATTTCTTTTATTTAGGTATCTGATCCCCAAATGATTTTCATCTTTTCTAGGATCTTTTTGATGTTCACTAATGGTGCCATATATGTCGAGTTTTTTTTACACGGGACTTCCCATTTCCCGAGATGGTTTATTTCATTCCCATTTCCCGAGATGGTTTATTTCATTCAATGGTCCTATTTTTTGTGTCATTCCCTTCAATCCCGATGACTTTGACGTCTAAGATTCTCAGGGAGTTTTCTGTGATGTATTTTATGAGGAATTTGAGTTTATTTAATGCATCTGTTGAAGCTTGAAGTGACTGATTTGTTTGACAAGCGAACGAGTACTACACTTTTTTTTGTGAGGTACCTTGTGTTTCTGATGTGTGGAATTGGGTGATTCGTCTGCCTATTTCCTCGCTACGACCCTGTTTGGAGGAAAGGAAATCTTCACTGTCTCCTCGTCACCTGTTATTATTATTATTATTTCTGGTAACTGTAATTCATTCCATTGTTATAATCAGGAACATCGCCTGGATCGAGTTCATGAGCTTTCACTTCACTACAATTGGCAAGAACTCGTGCTGATTGTTTCCAGCCCGGAGTTCTATAGTGGCATCATCTTGGGCTTGAAACTTCCCTCCTTCTGATGCCATGGCCCTGTGCCTAATGAGCGGCGATGACGTCACGCGGGGATGACGTCATTGGAACCATGTCGTCACGTTGGAATTAATGAGTGTTATGGCTGGTTTTGGTGTTATTCTTGGTTATTTCTTGTTATTTCTTTCATTTTTTGGAGTTGAATTGTGAATAGAGAGAAATTTTGTTATTCATCTATTCGGTTTTAAGGGAGATATATGAGTGTAGTTCGTCACTGACTTTCTTTAGTGTTCGTGTAATGTTATACATAACATTCTGCATTGATGCACTGAGTGAATACATTTTATATAAGCTATATCCATTTATAATCAATTTTTGGAATATTCACTTTCATTTTTCTTCTGATTTTTCTCTAAATTCCCCCGAAACTACTTTACTTGTTTTGAAAAATATACCATGAAGGGTAAGACATATCTGCATTTATGACTAACTTAAATAAACAAATTACGGAATTACTGTGTATGGAGCCACCTTGTCTTGCGGCTTGTATGTCCAGGGGAAAAGCCTGTCCTGGGAAGGAAGGGACGCTAGTGAAGCAACAGGGTTCATATATTATGCATATTGTATATATTTTTTAATTAATATCATATAAACCATATATATGATATATATTTATAAAATACATATCATATATGTATATATATATATATATATATATATATATATATATATATATGTATATAATAAATATATAGTATATGATATATATATGATATCTCATATACATATATACATATATGTATATATATATATATATATATATATATATATATATATATATATATACATATATATATATATATATATATATATATATATATATATATATATATATACATATATATATATATATATATATATATA